TCTTATGGTGGAACATTATTTAAGTATTAGAGAACTAAAAATTGTCTTGCTTGAAAATTTTAATGGCACAAGATTAAAATTTTAAAGATTCATCAATCTATTATAGTTGATAATTGAACTTTGATCCTAAAGCTATCTAAATCCAAGATAACAAATAAAATTTATTAAAATGTTACTTTTAGATTCTATTTTATTATAATTTTTATCTTTTCTTAAACAACATGATATAATATTGAATAATTTGGAGGCTTTTTTGGCATAGTTTTGATCCATATATGAAGAACATAATGCAATTTATATTACAACTAATAAGATTTGTATTTTACATTAAAGAAATTAATCAATAATATTATATGCTAGATAATTTTAACAAATTTCAATTGATATTAATTACAATGATGTTGCACTCATTAATCAATTTTTTTACAAATTATAATAAGAAATAAAGAAATTAATATTCAATTTATTTGATCTTTAGACACTGAGTCAAATAATTGATTTTGTTGTGAAGTATGATAATTGATTTATTAATATTTGGTTTAAAAATTATATAAGTGGACTTCAATATTTTTATAATTCAATGACAATACTAATATCTTTTAAATATATATATTTTAAAATAAAAAACATACAAATTGATATTGTATATTTTAAATTTTTTATTGAATAAAAAAAGATTCATTTTTATTAAGAAGAATTGTACTTATATTGTAGAGGACTTAAGAAAATTGATTAGTATTGTCCAAAAAAGCAATGCAACTATAAAATAAGAAATATGGCTTTAAAAAAAACTATAATAGACATTGTGAAGCTAGAAACTTGTACAACACCTAGTTCATATTCTCTCCTAAAAATCTTCTCTTTATTTTATAATAGAAGTTTTTTTAAGACCTAAAAATCACAAAGCCTCTATCTTACTAAATTTAGGAGTCTTAACTTATTTTTAAGATAAAAAATTTATTAAAAAACATAGCATATCTTTAGTAAATATGTATATGTAAAAGTCATATATTATCATTTGTTGTCTACTAGATATATTATCCATAAAATCTTACTTATAGAAGTAGCAATAAAAGATCATAATAGCTTTGAAACATTTAATATAATTAGATTTTTTCTAATTTAGTTATTTTAGATTTATTATGTCTAAAAAAATATCATCCTAAAATAGATTGGATTCTTTATAGTCTTGATTTTTTCTAAAGTGCCTCTAAAAGTTTGATTAATCAAATAAAAAGTCATAAGTCTAATGCAATCAAATCCTTTTAGGTAGGTGCAAGAACTTTCATACATACTGCAAAAGAAGTATCATCTTTTGACATTTATGCTACATCCATTTTTAATGGAGGAAAGACCACAAGTAATATTCTAAGCTAATATCAAGATTATTGAGAGATTTTTTAGAAAAGAAATATTGATAATATTTTAAGGCATTGTCTTTATACTTGCTCAATTTATTTTAAAGAAAAAAACTCAATCACCATTTGGACCAATCTATAGCTTATTATAAAATAAAATGGCTACACTTAATGAATACATTGATGAAAATTTAGCCAAAAATTTCATAAAAAATTTAAAATCTTTAACAAGAGCTTTAATTTTATTTATAAAGAAAAAAGATAGATCACTATAGATGTGTGTAGACTATTGAGGGCTCAATAAAATTATCATTACAAATAGATATCTTCTACTTTTGATATCTAGAATTTTTGGTCAATTGTATCAAGTCAAGATCTATATAAAAATTGTTTTACAAAATGCATACAATTTGGTACACATCAAAGAAAGAGATAAATAAAAGACTTCATTTCAATCCAAATATGGATATTTCAAATATAATTTCATACTTTTTGGACTCATAAATGCACTAATTATTATTTAACATCTTATAAATGATTTTTTTATTTTTTTTGGATGATTTTATCATAAGTTATCTAAATGGTATTTTAATCTACTCTAAGAACATAGATGAATATAAATTTTATATTTGTTGTGTATTAAAAAAATTAAGAGATATAAGATTTTATACAAAGATAAAAAATAAAAATAAAAATAAAAATAAAAAATTATATTTTATACTATTCAAATTGAATTTTTATATTACATCATTTCAAATGATGGTCTTATGGTAGATCTTAAGAAAATTTAAATTATTAGAGATAAAAAGATTTTAAACACAATTAGAGATTTTTAATATTTTTTAAGATTTATCAATAGTTATTAAATTTTTAATAAGAACTTTTTTAAAATTGTAGCTCCACTTATAGGTTTAAATTGTAAAGTTAAACTTGAGTAGAATAAAGAAGCTAAGGATCATTTTAAGCTTTAAAGATAGATTTAACTTTTGTACCAATCTTATATTGCATTGACTTTTTTAAGTCATTATTTATAGAAATATTTGCATTTGATTTTATCTAGGTGTAATATTATCACAAATAGGAGGAAATTATAAGCTTCATTCATTTGTTTTTTTATTCAAGTTAATTTTTAGGAGTAGAAATTAGCTACACAATCTACAATAAATAATTTCTTATAATAATAGATTCATTTTAAGAATAGCGCCATTATTTAAAAAGAGCTTTAATTTTGGTGATTTTTATGTACATTACAAGAATCTCAAGTATTTTATATCAACACATTTTAAAACTTTGCCAAGCCGCTTAAAACATGTTTTTGTCAAAATTTGATTTCAAATCATATATTAGGTAGAAAAATAATAAGATTTATTAGACATCCTTTTTAGATGTTCTTACCTTGAATCAAAATATATATATATATATATATATATATATACATAAAGCCTTTGATTAATAATAAGTATTTCTTTTGAAGCCAAAATAATTTTATTTTCAATTAGTAAAATTAACATTGAATATTAATTCTACCTTTCTTAAGAAAATTCAATTAAGTATGTTTTTAAATCTTCTTGTTTATGATATTAAAAATAATCTATCTAAATTTCATGATATTTTTAAGTCTGATTTTAAGAATAATCTACTCTATTTTGAAGAATACTTGTATGTTTCAAAAGATAAAACATAATTACATGCTCTTCAAACTTATCTCAATTTTCCAACTACATGAAATTTTAGATACAATAAGATCTTGGAAATAATCTTGAGAGATCCAATTTGTATTGAGGTTTTAGAACACTCTTTTCAAGATATTAAAAATAGACATAAAATTATCTTTAGCTTTTTATCCTCAAAATGATCTATAAAAAAAATAAGTGAATCAAGTTTTGAATCAATATTTGAGATATACCATTAACTACGATTAATACAATTAAAAATTCTTTTGCCATTAACAAAGTTTTGTTGTAATAACATGGTACATTCTTTTACTTAACAAACACATTTCTATGCTGATTATGGTTGTCATACACAACTTGATACTTTTGACTTCTCAAAAGTTGATAATCTTCCTGCAAAAGATATAGCAAATCATTTATTAAAGTTACATGCAACAATAAAAGTACAATTTAAAAATAAATAAATAAATACACAACAAAACAAAACACAATACATATGTTTATTGTAAATAACAACTTTAATTACACCTTAGCAACAAGGTATGGTTATTTTGTCATAATATCAAAACTAGTCACCTTTGAGACAAGTTAGATTACTATAGACTAAAATCATTTTTTATTTGTAAATAGATCAATTTAATTGCATATTAATTATACCTACCAAAGTTTGTGAAGATCCATCATGTATTCTATATGTTTCTTTGTGAGCTAGACAAGATAGTAGATATATTAAGAAAAAGACAAATGTCACTTCCTCTCATAGAAGTGGACAATAATCAAGAATTTGAGATCAAAGAAATCTTAGATTCAAAGTGGCTTTAAATTAGCTTAGAATTTCTTATAAATTGGAGTGGATATAATATTAATGAATATATATAGAAGAAATGAAAGAATCTTGCAAACATAGTAGAAAAAGTCAAAGTTTTTTTTTATCAATAACATCCATTAAAAATAAGATGAAGAATCAATAAATTCTTTGTTATAAAGAAAATAAGGTTCAATGAAGCTTGTATTCTGTCCTCTATCTTCGATTGTAATTTCTTTGTATTTGTGGCATTGAATAGATGAAAAATCAATAACTTACAGATTCAAGTAAAGAGCTATCATTTGTTGAGTTACTTGACAAGACAATGTAGTAGAAATAAAAACCTTTAAAAAAAGTCATATTCTTCATTGAATAGATGGTAAGATACAACTCGTTTAGTATCATAACTTTAGAAGAGACTCTTGATATTTGGTGATTTTATTAGAAATTTCTTCTAATGGTATTTCAAATATTTTGTTTAAAGAAACTTACGAAGGCCTTAACATTGATCAAATATCAAAGTACTCTTCTTGCCTTGGTATGAAATATTATCAATGACTAAGAGGACTTATCAACTTCCTTCGAAGAGAGCAAAAATCAAAGTGTGTATATCTTATCCTTGATAGTGAATAGAATTGGCAAGACTATAATTGTAAAAGTCATACTTAATAATATAAAACACAAGTATGATGCCTCATGCTTTATTAAGAGTATTTCATATAGTTGCAATAGCTATAAAATTTCTTACAATATTTTAGAATTATTTAAGGTAAAAGAAGATTCAAAGGTAGGCCATTCGAATTTAAGGTGAAAGAAGAAAAATGAGGTTGGGATGTTTGGTATGAGCTTGACAAAGATTGTTAAGAAGAAGAAACTTGGATGGAAATAAAATAAAAAGTAAAAAATAACAACTCCAATGTATGGAATACTTTAAAGTCGAGTCAAAATACAATTTAAAATAATAATAGCACATTATATTATGTTGATATAAGAACATTTCATAGATTGTTATTAATACTACTAGAAGTACTAAAACCATTTTGTTGAAAAAGAGACTGCTTGAGCTTTTTTGAAGTCTTCCTGTAGCCTCATTTGGAAACTGGTGATTCAGTACACGCTTCTTAGGCTCACCATTGAACCCATTCCAGGATGAGATGCTGTCAATTTCATAACCATATTCTTTTGAAGGTAAGTATCCTATTCATGGAGGTGAGCAGAGTGCTTCAGCCAACCTGTTTAGAAAACAGAAAAATAATTACACTTATCCTACTGGGTTCATTTCTTCAACTAATTTTGTCTGCAATGAGGTCCCGTCCTCAATTGGCTTCTGGTCTGTAGGCCATTCTGAATGCAATTGAATTTCTAAATTTAGACACTCCAACAAAAAAACCGGTTCCAGACCTGATAATTTTCAGATCCATTACTGCGAATTGGCTCAAAGGAGACAGATGTGATTGACAGTGGCTTTGAAACGGTTTCAAACGGTTTCAAAGTGATTTCAAAACAACTCGAAGTGATTTCAACGTGCTCCAAGAAGGATTCTACTTCTACGAAAACAAAAAGAGAATAATGCACGCCGCCTACAATACACGCTCAGCTCTTGACAAAAATTGGGCAGTCGACGAGATTAGGGCTCTACCACTCAAATTTGGTTACCAGTAGACTCTTTCGCCTCTTTCAATGAACTCCAGTCCAAGAAGGGGAATTTTTTAGGGTCGTTATAGTGCTCAATGGAAAGCCTTCCAGCTGCTTGCTTATCCACAAACCATGCCAACTCTCCATGTCTAGGTCGAACGAGTTGGGCTGGAAGAGCACCCGGCAATGCTGGCCTCTCAAATACTCGTTGCAGCACCTCTGCCTTGCTCGATCCAACAACAACAATTGCCACCTAGAACCAAGTTTACACCAGATCTTCATCAGTCCCAACCCAAGCAAAGCAATCCTAAGAGAAGATTTACTACTTGAAGCATTCGACGACACATGAGATTCAAATCACCGAGTAGAGGAGATTCGTACGTGGGCTGCGCCATTGATGCAGGGGAGAGATAGGGAGATACGCCGCGATGGAGGCTTTGGACTCTTGGTGATTGGTACCACCCACTTCTTTGTCTCAGCAAGCTGCAACGAGTTGGGAAATAACGAGGCAACGTGACCATCTGGTCCTATACCTAACAATACCTGAACGCACACAAAGACCCATTGGCTTCAGTTGAGAACAGAGAAAAAGCACATGGAAACAATAAGCGTTTTAAAGAGTGAGTACAGCATAAAGCTGAAATTGTTGAAACCACAGTTCAAGAGGGAAAATTTCAAACAGACAAAAATAGTGTTAGCATCATTCTTAGACCAAGTCAGCAGTTCCACACACATGCATAATATAAAGAGGAAAGCTGTGACCTACAAGATCAAAACGAGGAAATTTATGATGATTCACATTGGTGGTGTGTAGAATCTTCCTCTTCACCATTTCTCTGTGTCAACATCAACACACAACCTCAATAAGCAGTTTCAAGCTAGAACACCGCCATCTCGGAATGCGCTTGGAAAAATAGTCTTTTGACGAACCCGTCCAAACAAATTCCTGTAATTTTCAAGTGACTCCGAAAGAAATAAGGAAGAAAAGAGGAAGAGGAGAAGAACAAGAGGAAAAACAAGGAGAAGTGGACTTCAACAATTCTGATCTAATGATAGACCTAAGACATCACAAACAAGGAACAAAACAATGAATCGTAAATTGTGCAACACGTACTTGAGACGAGCTTCATAGCCATTAGCTGCAGCGCTGCAGACGTCCCAATCATCAATAGTGACTAGGTTGTCATCCGGAATTGGAACCTTAGACAAAAACTCGTGCTGCACCACCAGAAATTACATCAAAACATCAAAAAATATTAAAAAATTGAAGCTGTTTCACTACCTTCGGGCCATCAATTAGTGCTACATGAGTACACTTCAAGCAACTATCAACAGTATGGAAAGTCAACTTACCTTCGCATCATTGTAATTGCTGTCAGCGTGCGAGATCGGCACCATGCGCTCATCGGCCCAAAATACAAACCATTTTGACCAATTCAACTTGGAAGCATGAGGCTCCTTAACCAATGCGCTCAAAGCCTGCACATTTCCAAAAACTCCTGTGGCTATTACTCGGAAGTGAGCGACTGGAAGTAACGAGGATTAACGCTTCTGGAGCTTTATTTTTTGGTGAAATCTTTTCCAGTATCACGTTGGGGGATTGAAGTCCATTGGAATGCAACTTTTCACAACTTTTCGCTTCAGCGAAGACTAACCTTCACAAGCGAACCTCCAGAAAGTACGATCGAAAAATATCCACGCGCCTTGATAGATTCTTCAGAAATTCGGGCAATGTAATCAGCCACTGCTTCTGCAACGTCATGTAGATGTGGCACGATGGATACAGAGCATGGCCAGGGACCATCTTCATATTCAAATAAATGCACAGCAGGTTTCGGTTTCCCATTTTGGTTCTCAGTTTCCTTCATGTGAGCGTATTCATCCGAGGCAGTTCCATCCACCACTCGTTTCCCTTCTGCATTTTTTCTCCTGTTGATTACGAACACACAGGAATTTCAATGAGCAGGTAGATAATTTGTGATTGTGACTATCTTGTAGATCAATCCAATTTCTGGAGCATTTACAAGAAGGTTGATAAAGTAGCATACACAGCTTTTGTGGTGGTGCTCGAGTTAGTGCTTTTTGGTCGGCCACGCCTTGGGGGGGCCGCGTTGCTTGAACCCTCGCCAACTTCATTGACAGACGCAGCACAGACAAAACCAGGGAACTTCACGATGTTTTGACCATAACTTAACCGACTCGGTAACGCACTCTGTGTTCCATTCCCCTGCTAAGTTTTCCCAAAGTTCGTATCATCAATACCAATGCGCATGTGCACGGTCTATGAAACTGAGAATATTGTGTAGGAACCTGCCTCGATTCATCATCCCTTTCAAACCGAACCCGCGAACACAAACTATGGATCGGCTGTAGTAACCACGGTCGCCTCACGTGTAAGAAGAACGACTGCCCATCCTTTAGTACGTAAGGAGATGCTAAACCATTATTTAAGCTGTTCCTCCGTCGTGTTCTCTAAAATAAAAAGTAAATAACTGAAACGCAACACAAACAAAAAGCGTACCTGAGCCACAGACTCGACAAGGCGAGGGGTAGAAACGGCGCCTGGAGCGGCATACGCCGAAAACGAGAACGCCATTCACAGCTGCGGGTCTTCCTCGCTCAAGAAACGGCTTCGCCTGCCCTAATGCAAAACATTCAATTCAATTCAATGCCAGCTTAATTGAAAAATTATAATGACAATCAAGAATTATGGAGGAAAGTGTGCTAATCTCCAACCGTGAGTATACTGCTTTCAGCGCAAGTGAACACATTCCCTCGGAAATTCTTCAACTCAAATCGGAATAGGTTTCAAATCACCCTTGACATTAGTGCAGAAATGTTTTAAAATTAAGAATTATGGTAGAAAGCCCTACAAATAGTTTGAATGCGGTGCAAATCATAATGT